CATCGGTTCAGCCTCAAGAACCAGACGACCCTCCAGCCGACCAATTAATACAACTCAACAAAGGAAACCTTTACGCAGAAAGTGCTAAGTATGGTTAAAAAAAATGTTACTTTTACCGAATTAGATTATTTAGCTGTTACAGCATCTTCAAGGGTGGGCAGAGGCAGCAGAAGTAAAACCTACAAGACTTAAGGGGATGGGCAACAAATACTCACCTACTTAACAGGGGTGTTGTATGGCTTATTTAATTAATGAATACTTGTAAAGCACTCTTGAGTTGCTCAGACAAGAAGCGCTATACAGTACCAGTGCAACATGTTATTATATATTATTAAGACTGGCTCTGCAGAAGAATAATTCCAGGTAAATGTGCAATCAAATGATCATTTTAGTTCCCAGTAATTAGATTCAATAGGCCAAAAAAACACAGAAGGCTTTCTTTAATCATACACTAAACAATCAGAACATCCCTAACCTTTCAAGCTACAGCCTTTTTGAATAAAACATCATCAACTTATAGATATTATTCCAAAAAGAACCAGTCACCATATGTGTTGTCTCTTTGAAATACAGTTGCTATAGCAGACCCTGCATGCATTTCATGTGATATGATCATATTCTATCCGTTCTGGCAGCTGAGAGGTTGCACAACTAAAATTGGCTGCCAGAAATTTTTGAAGATTCCCAGAACCAGTAGCCATGCAAGAAATGCCTGCTTTCTACTCGAGCTGGCCACAAAGCCAGCTTACCACAGCCAACCCCACACCAACGAAGATCTCTGCCCTTGGGCCAGGCTTGCAATGGCAAGGCTGTGACAGAGCAAAGCCAGAGCTCTGTTCCTGCTCCATCCCCACTGGCACAGCACCCACATCCCTGAAAACCCAGCCCTACTCAGGCTCCCCACTCGAGGTGACATCTACACCACCATGCTCCATGCCTGGCTGGCACTTGTCCTGGCTATGAGACCCGGTGGGACCAGCAATGGTGAGAGGAAGGGACCAGCATGGAGAGTGGAGCAGGGGGGAAGGAAAGCATTAAGAAGTGTAATGAATGAGTCAGGTGGAGCATCACAGAGACAAGGAGAAACACGGAGGGGCAGACACGGGTGGGGTGGCAGCAAGCTGACAGCTCAGGGGGACTGCGGCTTGAAATGGCATTTCCCATCCCTCCTCTCTCAAGATTTCCTGCTTCTGGTTATAAATAACAGGCTGCAATAAAAGCTAAGCATCACTTGAGCTTGGGTTTAAGATGTGGAAGGTTGTTTATAGCCCAGATCTGGTTCTTGCTGAACATCTGCACCAAGCAGCTACCGCCTCCTTGGTGGCACGGTGAACCCAGGATCCCAAGTCCCTCAGCCCTTCTGCATTTCCCTGCCCAGCCTCTCCCCGCTCCTGCCTCAGACCAAGCACCACCCCTGCACTCCTCACACACGACGGGATGTGTAGAAGAACCATGGCTAGCTCACCCCAGGAAGCCCCAGCCTTCTTTCCTCTTCCATGCAAAGTATTTCAAGCACATTTGGAGCACCTTCATGAAACGGATTTGCTGCTGTGGGTTGGATCCCAGTGGACAGCTGCCCTCCCCAGGCAGCACACCCCATCTCATCCACACCAACAAGCACTGCAGCTCTGCCCCCTTCTCCGGGGTGCTGGTGCTGCACAGCGCTCAGGCGAGGACAGGCAGGGAAACAAAACTGAGAGTGAAGTCAGTCCCACAACCTTCATCAGCACGGAGACTCGCAAGCAGGCCTGTACATTAATAAAGCTTCCTGTGGGAGTAGATGTTGCCTTTGATTTGCATGTGAATTCAATGCTAGTGAGAAGTGCCAGACTGTCAGACATGGAGACCAAAGTCTCTTATCTTTCCAAAAGCTTCTGTAGCAGTTTCCCCACATTTCCTTAATCATCTGCCTTGTCCTCAACTTACTGAACAGGCAGTAGAGAGTAAAGCTGGACTCGGTTCAACTCCTGCTGCTGCCAAGTCCTGAAACAAGGGTGCCAGGACTGTTTATTGCTAGCCAACAGCTCTGCTGATGTGGCCCTCTCCTCATCAGCAGGTGCTCTGACATCTCCAAGCTCTTTTCACACATGCTTCCCCACCACCACAGCTACATCCTAAATCTCCACCACGTGCCTGCAAGTGAACAATTGCTGGTGGCTGCAGTCAACGAGTTCATGTTTGTGCATCCAAGCAACTGCACGTTCCTTCATGAGACTGGAGGGTAGAGACACCAAGAGTCCCCAAAAACACAGAGATGCTTCAGATACGTGGGACCATGACTACCAGAAGCCATGTTACATGCCACCTATCTGCACTGCTCAAAAACCCTGGACGTGGCTGCTTGGGACCACCAGGTTAAGACACCATTCCATCAGCTGATCACACAGTATCAGCAATCATCCCCGTCTCTGCACCAAAATGCACATAGGAAATCTTCCCGCTTACCAAAGGAAGAGAAAGAAAAGCATCCCCTAGCAAGTGCATCTTCTGAGTGACAAGGTTTTGGGTCACTATCAACAGGGATTTGAAAGGAGAACATCAGTAAAAGGCTCACTACCAACCGAATCATCTTGATTCTTCTCGGTGCTATGCCTAAATACAAGATACAGTAAATGAACTCCCGAGCTATTTTCTTATCCATCAGGAAATCACCCAGAGATAAGGAGATTTGCTGGCATAAAACAGAGACCAGTAAAAAGGCAAATGAAATGTTGTACCTTAGAGACACTGCTCAGGCTTAGGATGGTATCTGGGAGCCAACAATGGGTGACACCTAACCCAGGAAAAAATTTAACAGCACACTCACTGTGCGATGAATCAAGCCTGCTGCACTCAAAGGTGCCACAGAGCAAGTGGGAAACCCCACCAAAAACCCCTCTCCTGTTGCTTAGGGAAGTGGCAACCATTTAATACTTCTGAACCAGTTAAGCCCCAGGGTGGGGGGAAAAAGTAGGCATCTGAGATGACCAAGACAATTTATTGCAAGACAGACAGAACATGACTTGTTTGCCCAGCTGTTGTTTGCCCAGCACATCCGGCACTGTTACCACCCCAGGAACTGCCGTCTCTCGACATTTTCACCCAAGCAGCTCAATCTTTCGGTTTCACCATTCTCTTCGGGCAAGTTTTGCTCGAAGGGTGAAAAAGTAGCCCTGCCTCTGACTTCATGTGGCTAGAAACTCATGATTTGGGAAGTGGAATACACTGGAAAAACTGGGTAGAAC